ACCAAGCTGGTGTTCTGGTAACAAGCACACTGGTGGGAAAGGTAAAGAGACCAGAGATGAGCATAAGATAACCAAGGAGAGGCTGGGCACGGTGGCTCACACCTGTAATCCCAGCACTTTGGGACACCAAGGTGGGCGGATCACAAGGTCAGGAGATCGAGACCATCCTGGCTGACACGGTGAAACCCCATCTCCACTAAAAATACAAAAAAAAATTAGCCGGGTGTGGTGGTGGGCACCTGTGGTCCCAGCTACTTGGGAGGCTGAGGCAGGGGAATGGCGTGAACGCGGGAGGTGGAGCTTGCAGTGAGACGAGATTGGGCCACTGCACTCCAGCCTGGGGGACAGAGCGAGACTCTGCCTCAAACAAACAAACAAAAACAAAACAAAACAAGGAGACTTTGGAAGAGCTTAGACATCACGTGGGAAGTGGCTACATTCCTGGCATAGGGTGGGTACTAAATATTCCTTATTTATTTATTTATTTTGAGACAGAGTCTTGCTCTGTTGCCCAGGCTGGAGTCCAATGGTACAATCATAGCTCATTGCATCCCCGACCTCCTGGTCTCGAGTGATCTGCCTCAGCCTACCCAGTAGCATAGAGCTCCGCACATGGCTAATTTTAAAATTTTTTGTAGAGATGGAGTCTCGCTATGTTGTCCAGGATGGTCTCAAACTCCTGGGCTCAACTGATCCTCCTGTGTTGGCCTCCCAAAGTGCTGGGATTACAGGCATGAGCCATGGCGCCTGGTCAAACACACACACATATATATTTTTTTGAGACGGAGTCTCTCTCTGTCACCCAGGCTGGAGTGCAGTGGCCAGATCTCAGCTCACTGCAAGCTCCGCCTTCCGGGTTTATGCCATTCTCTTGCCTCAGCCTCCCGAGTAGCTGGGACTACAGGCGCCCGCCACCTCGCCCGGCTAGTTTTTTTCTATGTTTTAGTAGAGACGGGGTTTCACCGGGTTAGCCAGGATGGTCTCGATCTCCTGACCTCGTGATCCACCCGTCTCGGCCTCCCAAAGTGCTCGGATTACAGGCTTGAGCCACCGTGCCCAGCCAGGTATAAACATTTTTCTGTACACACACACACACACACACACACACACACTACCTCCAGTAAAAAAGGAAAAGTGTTGGTGCAATGACAATTTTTTACCCAAGTGCCTCCCCGCTTCACCATATAAAAAGACTAAGTAAGCTGGGCCCGGTAGCTCACGCCTGTAATCCCAGCACTTTGGGAGGCAAAGGCAGGCGGATCACGAGGTCAGGAGATTGAGACCATCCTGGCTAACATGGTGAAACCTCGTCTCTACTAAAAATACAAAAAAATGACCTGGGCGCCTGTAGTCCCAGCTACTTGGGAGGCTGAGGCAGGAGAATGGTGTGAACCCAGGAGGCGGAGCTTGCAGTGAGCAGATATTGTGCCACTGCACTCCAGCCTGGGTAACAAAGCTAGACTCCGTCTTTAAAAAAAAAAAAAGGTGGCCGGGCGCGGTGGCTCAAGCCTGTAATCCCAGCACTTTGGGAGGCCGAGACGGGCGGATCATGAGGTCAGGAGATCGAGACCATCCTGGCTAACACGGTGAAACCCCGTCTCTACTAAAAAATACAAAAAATTAGCCAGGTGTGGTGGCGGGCGCCTGTAGTCCCAGCTACTCGGGAGGCTGAGGCAGGAGAATGGCTCGAACCCGGGAGGCGGAGCTTGCAGTGAGCAGAGTCCGCGCCACTGCACTCCAGCCGGGGCGACAGAGCGAGACTCCGTCTCAAAAAAAAAAAAAAAAAAAAAAAAGGTAGACAAAAAGACAAAGTAGAGTTTGGGGTCAGAAAGCCAGGCCTGACTGAGATTGCAGTGAGCCAGGACCGCACCATTGCACTCCAGCCTGAGCGACAGAGACACTGTCTCAAAAAAAAAAATAGATAATTTTTTTTTTGCATTTTGTTGAGATACATTCAAATATGCTACAGAAATGATCCCTTCAGAAACTCAGTTTTTACAAAAATTAGTGGGTGTGGTGGTGGGCCCCTGTAATGGGAGCTACTTGCGAGGCTAACGAGGGAAAATCGCTCAAACCCAAGAGGCACAGGTTGCAGTGAGCCGAGATTGCGCCATTGCACTCCAGTCTGGCGACAGAGCAAGACTACATCTCCAAAAAAAAAAGAAACGAAACTCAGTTTGTAGTTGGTCTTAGTTTGTCCCTCTCAGTTTGTAGGAGCCCAGACAGACAGAACGGAACCAAAAAGAGGCACCTGGAGCCGGGTGTCCTGAAGCTGTGCAGTGTGGGCACAGCCCTGAGTCTGGGGGGTTGGGGAGGGTAGGGGCTGTGACCTACTTGCGGAGGGGCAGGGCCTCCTCTCAGGAGCCACAGCAGGGACTGAGGCCTGCACGGGGAGGTCCGGGTCAGCATGTCCTGGATGAGGAACTGCTGGCCCCTGGGCTGTGCCCTCTTGGTGCCCTCAGCTCGGCCTCCTCTCTGGAGGGAGCGCGTAGGCTTCTCTTCCAAAAGTACTTTTTCTATCCTTTCCAGTGGGTTTTGCCAAGGGTTCTGACGGGAGGGTGGGTACGAGATTCTGTGCCACATGGGAGTGTTAACAAACATAATTTTATTCCAAAATATTATTTTCCACTTCCAACTGAATAACTTAGATAACTGCTCATATCTCCGCCTATTTATTTATTTATTTTGAGACGGAGTCTTGCTCTGTGGCCCAAGCTGGTGTGCAGAGGCACAATCTCGGCTCACTGCAGCCTCCACCTCCCAGGTTCCAGCGATTCTTCTGCCTCAGCCTCCCAGGCAGCTGGGATTACAGGCAGGCACCACCATACCCAGCTAATTTTTTCTTTTGTATTTTTTAGTAGAGATGGGGTTTCATTATGTTGGCTAGGCTGATCTCGAACTCCTGACCTCAGGTGATCCGCCCGCCTCAGCCTCTCAAAGTGTTGGGATTACAGGCGTGAGCCACCGCTCCCGGCCCCCTACAACTTTAAAACTAGAAACTTTTGTCTCATGACGAACGAATCCAGGTAGAGAGGCAAGGTTCTGTTTCGAACCTTGGGTTCTAAACAGAAACTGAGTGTCGACAGACGTGGTTCTCCGGACAGCGCTCCGCAAGCGCGGACCCCCGCGGGTCCGGGCCCCACGCCCGCCCGCCCTCGGTGCCGTCCGCTCACCTGCGCCCGCGTCCGGCTCCACCAACACCCGCTGGCTCCCGAAGCGCCGCGCGCCGTCTCTCCCGCGGCCCGCCCGCTCCGTCCGTCCGAGGGCCGCGCCCGGGAGCCGGGCCCCTGCGAAGGCAGCGCGGAGAAGCCCGTTAGTTCCCGGCCCCGGCTCCGGCCCCGGCCCCGGCCCCGACCCCGACCCCTGCCCGCCCCGGGTCTCGCACCCGCGCGGAGCAAAACGCGCGCCGGGACTCTCACAGCAGCCGCCAGCGCCATCTTGACCAGAACGCGCCTGGTGAAGGTCGCGGGGTAATTTGTCTCCTGGGGAGGGGGCGGAGTCCTCCCTCAGGAGCAGGCCCCGCCCCGTTCCCAGAGGCCGGTCAACGCCTCCACCTACTGGCCGAAGCAGCCGCCCACCGCCCGCCGGGTTCATCACGGGCAGCCGCGCGCTTCAGGGGCAGGCACCTAGATCTGGGGCAGGGCTGGCCTACAAGGGAGACGCAAGGAGGTGCGGGCCCACTGCTGACGCAGCCACGACCAGTGCAGCGCCAGGGCAGGCTCTTCTACGGCGCGGGACAAGTAGGCAGGAGGCTGCCGTTGTTCGTGACTGCGAGCTCTAGGCCAGGCTCAGCTACTGCAGCATTGGCGCTGGAAAGGCGATCAAAGCAATGAGCCCCACACAGGGGGTCCGTGAGGGAGGCCAGGGGCTGCCTGGAGTGAGCCCAGCCTCCTGCCCCTTTGGGAACAGGATCAGAGCTGCAGGTTTAGTCACCAAAGTGGGGGTGGGGGCAGCAGAACCCAGCGGTAAGAACAGGCCACACACCTTGCTCAGCACAAGGCCAAGTGCACAAAGGCTGGACCGCAGTGGCACCTCTTAAATTTTTATTTGTAGAGAAATGCCAAAGGATAAGAATACAGTCTGTTCCCACTGGGCCATAAGCGGGAGCTGGGGAGTGGGCCTTTGTACTGTCTGGTGTGGGGTCTTGGTCTGACCACTGGGAGCACTGGGCAGTAAGGTCCCAGCAGTTTTGGGTGGTTTCAACTTTTGTTCTCATCTTAAGCATTTCCAATTCTTCCTTGTGTCCCAAACCAATTTTTGAGGTGGAAAAATGGCCACTTAATGAAGGAGGAAGCAAGCCTGGCATGGCAACACACACCTGTAAGCCGTGACTCAGGACCAGCTGGGCAACATAGCAACACCCTGTTGCTACAAAAAATTTTTTAAATATTAGCCGCTGCTGCCGGGTGCGGTGGCTCATGCCTGAAATCCCAGCACTTTGGGGGGGCCAAGGTGGGCAAATCATGAGATCAGGGGTTCAAGACCAGCCGGGCCAACGTGGTGAAACCCCGTCTCTACTAGAAATACAAAAAATTAGCTGGGCTTGGTGGCTGGCGCCTGTAATTCCAGCTACTCAGGAGGCTGAGGCAGGAAAATCGCTTGAACCCAGGAGGCAGAGATTGTAGTGAGCCAAGAATGCACTACTGCACTCCAACCCAGGCAACAGAGACTCCGTCTCAAAAAAAAAAAAAAAAAAAAAAAAAAAAAAAAAATTTGCCCCTGCTACTCTGGAGGCTAAAACAGGAGTTGGAGGCTGTAGTGAGCTATGATCGCACCATGGTACGCACTCCAGCCTGGGTGACAGAGCGAGAGTCTGTTTCAAAACACACACACATTCCGAGGGGGTGATAAAACCATCTCCACCATAGCAGCAACCTAATATCCACAGCACACAAACCCTAGATTCTCCTGACAAAAGCACTGGAGGTGCCACTGTGGATGTTGAGGAACAAAAAGTTACTAGGGGCGAGGGTACTGTGAGAAGGCAGTGAACCCAGTACTAGATCTGCATTCCAATCTTGGGTTTATTCAACACAATTCTTCCACTCTACACAACAAAGTACAAACACAATGTCATCTAAAATGCTACAAAGGTATAAAACTCAAAGAGAAATTTTATAGTACTGACTGTACAATAAAAGCAAAAAAGCAAAAAAGCAAAAAAAAAAAAAAAAAAAAGGCAATGTACATGTTGCCAAGATAACCTGAAATACCAACACGAAGGGCAGACACAACCATGGCTGCATGATGATCCCGCAGAGCTGGCTCTCACTCGCCAATTTCAGAGTAGGGTGGTGGGGTGGGGTGTGTGCATGGGTGCATGGACAGACAGAACCATGCACAGCAACTACCATAGGTGAGAGGATCTTTGGGGATGTGTGACCCTTGAAGTTGGAAGAGGCCTCAAGAGGCCGAGGCTAACAGGGTTGGCAGCTGCACTAAAGCTCGGGACGGCTCCCTTTCCAAAAGGACACCGCCCAGCAACAGCAAGGGCAGAGTCTGGCCACCGTCTCAGGTCACCAGGGAAGGGAAAAGTGTGCTCCCAGGCAGGCAGGGTCACACCACCCCCTAGAGCCTCACTTGTCCCTGGTGGCCCTGCCACTGAACTGACTCTTAGAAACTGGAAACGGGCGAGCTTCCTAGCCAGAAACCGGAGGGAATCTTGACAGGCACACAACACCCAAACCAACAGCACTTCTGCAGCCAGAGCCCGGCCGGCAGAGGGGTGCTGCCTGCTGCCTGCAAATTCTGCCCGAGTAAAGGGTTTGCTTTCCTACTGATCTTCCTTTGGCTAGAAAAGTGACAAAACTGAGCTGGGTGGGGCATAAGTTACAGGGGTGAGAGCTTCAGTGGCCTGTTTATCGGGAGGAGTTGGAGCTGGAGCGGCTCCTGTGGCGGCGGCGTCCCGGGGAGCGTGATCTCCGGCGCACAGGGGACCTGCGCCTCGGGGAGCGGGACCTGCAGGAAGAGGAGAAACCACATCAGAGTAGCTCAGGTTGTAGGGGCAAGCTAGCTTCTTTCTGGGTAATTCCCCAGTTTTACTTTTCTGAGACAGAATCTCACTCTGTCGCCAGGTCAGAGTGCAGTGGCACGATCTCAGCTCACCACCACCTCTGCCTCCCGGCTTGAAGCGATTCTCCTGCCTCAGCCTATCAAACAAATGGGACTACAGGCGTGCGCCACCATGCCCAGCTAATATTTGTATTCTTTTTTTTGATATGGAGTCTCACTCTGTTGCCCAGGCTGAGTGCAGTGGTGCAATCTCAGCTCACTGCAAACTCCACCTTCTGGGTTCATGCCATTCTCCTGCCTCAAGCTCCCAAGTAGCTGGGACTACAGGCGCCCGCCACCACGCACAGCTAATTTTTTATATTTTTAGTAGAGATGGGGTTTCAGTGTGTTAGCCAGGATGGTCTCAATCTCCTGACCTGGTGATCCGCCCACCTCAGCGTCCCAAAGTGCTGGGATTACTGGCGTGAGCCACCACACCCAGCCGAAGGTTTACTTTTTAATACCAGAATTTGGGACAGGTCCCACCTGATGGGCCTGCCCTGAGCTCTTGGGAACGGGTGCTTGTGAGACCCAAGGCAGAAGCCCAGGCTTTCCTCCTCTTCCCCAAAGGCTGAAAGCACAGCTCACCACTGGCAAGGGAGGCCGAATTGTGGCGTCTGCCGAGGGATTACCACCCCCGCCCCACAACTCTTCTGACCCCCAACTTCTCCCTCTCCCAGCCCTTCTTGTTAGCTCAGAAAAAAAGTGGGCCTGCACCTGGGCTCACAGGTCTAGTGGTCTCCTAGGAAGGCCATACCACACCACTGCCCAGACTCATGAAGCTGTGTTGGTGCAACTCTAGGGCGTCTCCTGCTCTCTCCATGAGCTCTGAAGGGCTCCTCCTCTCTGCCCCCCTCCCCCTCCTGCCACCGCAGCAGAAGGCAGGCAGGCAGGGCTGGATAGAGGGTCCCAAAGCCACTGCAGTCACATGAGGTTTGTGGCCTGGTTAGTCCACTGAAACTACAGATTGTTTACCTTCTCCTCATCCGTGGCGGAGACCTGCGCCACATGGGTGGTGGTGGCAACATTCTCCTGGGAGGGCTAAATCTCCTGGGGGGTGGCCTAGGCCAGGGGGCCAGCACGGCAGTTGCAGTGATCTCCTGGCCATCAATTTGTCCTGTTGAAAAAGAGAGCAAGTCATAAAACATCTAACAAGCATCTACCCTAGACAAGGCATGTCACAGTGAACAAGACAGGCCTGGGGGGACAATGACAATGTAAGATAATCACAGAAATAGCTGGGCGTGGTGGCGGGCACCTACAGTCCCACCTACTCGGGAGGCTGAAGCAGGAGAATGGCGTGAACCCGGGAACCAGAGGCTGCAGTGAGCGGAGATCGTGCCACTGCACTCCAGCCTGGGCAACAAGAGTAAAACTCTGTCTCAAAAAAAAAAAAAAAAAAAAAAAAAAAAAAAAAAAAAAAAAAAAAAAAGATAATCACAGAAATAACATTATGACTAATGTTTCATGAGAAGAAAGCATGGACACCAATAGGAGACACCAATTTCCACGTGTCGAAGCAGCCTCGCAGGTCAAGAGTCATCCAAGTCAAGAGCTAAACAATGTGCTGGAGGCCAGGTGCAGAGGCTTACGCCTGTAATTCCAGCGCTTTGGGAGGCTGAGGCAGGTGGATCACGATGTCAGGAGTTCGAGACCAGCCTGGCTAACATGGTGAAACCCCATTTCTACTAAAAATACAAAAATTAGCTGGGCATGGTGGCATGTGCCTGTGATCACAGCTACTCAGGAGGCTGAGGCAAAAGAATCTCTTGAACCAGGGAGGTGGAGGTTGCAGTGAGCTGACATCAAGCTACGGCACTCCAGCCTGGGCAACAGACTGAGACTCTATCTCAAAAAAAAAAAAAAAAGAAAAGAAAAGAAAAGAAAAGAAAAGAAAAGAATGTGCTGGAATCCGCTAGGTGGAAGAGAAGGGCTCTGCGGGGCCCTGTGCTGGGAAGGAACCAAAGCACTGGTGAGAGAAGGCAACAGAAGGCCCCAGGGTCAGGATGGGGCTTCCTGGTAGGGCCATGCAGGTAGTATCAGTGTTTGCGCTTCCTTCTCCTCCAACCAAGGGAAGCCAGGTCTGGGGCTAAGAGAAGGGCGAGAACTTCTCTTAGGAGGGCTCTGCGGCACTGAGAGGAGCATGAAACAACATCAAATGATGTGGTAGGGAAATGGAAGGATTCAGGGAACAGCTGGGAGATAAAATTGCCAGAGCTTGGTGATGGATGGGATGGGGGTGGTAAGGGACCATCGGGATGAGCTTCCATTGACGGAGAGGTGGGGCTTCGGTGGGGAGCAGCACGAAGGAAGTTTCAGGAGATGCCAAGGACTTTGTGTTTGGAACAAGCAGTCTCAGAGAGGTGGCTCTGCATGGGGACGGCATTGAAACACACGCCATGTGCATGAAGCGAGGAGAGGCAGTGTGGGATGTGGGCTCCAGGGAGAGAGGAAACGAAATGCAGGTACAAACCCAGGAAGGAGAGCATGTGCCCCAACCTCAAGAATTGTCTGGTAGCTGGGGATATCAGAAGCCCAAGCACAACCCCTTTTGTGCCCTAAGGGGTAAAGGGCTCTTTTGTTTTCTCAACTGTACCTTCAAGGTACATGGGGACTAACTTGGGCACGTGGCTATGTATTCAGAACATACTTAAAAGGTTTAACTTCAGTAAATTCAGCCTAAGTTAGCCCAAATTAGAGATTTCACAGCACTGACTCTACAATAATGAAAAAAAAATCCATCTTCTGTGTAGCTGCCAGTAAAGGCCAACCCCTTCTCATCTCCTCTGGAGACAGGGTGGACTCACTCCATTCAAACACAGTATGGAGGACACACAAAAAAAATCCTACCAGAATCTTACGAAAAGTTGGAATGTCTATATTCACACCCACCCAGAAGGTACCTGGGTCTCCTGGGTTTTTAGCTCAGCAAGTGCTCAGACTGTCAAACAGCAGATAATCAGCAGACTCCAAAGCAAAGGTGTGACTTACAAGGCCAGCAGCTGATGTGAGAGCAAAGAGCTCCTAACCCATTTCAGGACTTAAGGAACTTGAAAGAGAAGTTAGCCAAATATCAAGGAAACTTTCCTAATGCCTGAAGGGCAATTACTGAAAAAAACCAGTTAAGCTATTTATACAGTTTGTAACAGGGCCTCAGAGGATGGAAAGTTCTGGGGCATGCACACTCCACTCCCCACCAGGCCTGGCAGCCCAGACAGCACTGTTGGCTGTGTTCTCAGCGCCAGCTGCCTCAGTCAGAGCAGCAGGGAGTGGCGCAGAGACGACTCCACATTCCTCAAAATGCTGACTTGAGGACAAAATGCCACCCAAAACTATTCACAAGGGTCCATGCGCTTTTAAAACCATTCTGCTGGCCAGGCGCGGTGGCTCACACCTGTAATCCTAGCACTTTGGAAGGCCGAGACAGGCGGATCACGAGGTCAGAAGATTGAGACCATCCTGGCTAACAGAGTGAAACCCGTCTCTACTAAAAATACAAAAATTTAGATGGGCGTAATGGCGGGTGCCCATAGTCCCAGCTACTCGGGAGGTTGAGGGAGGAGAATGGCGTGAACCCAGGAGGCAAGGCTTGCAGTGAGCCGAGATCATGCCACTGCACCCCAACCTGGGCGACAGAGCGAGACTCCGTCTCAAAAAAAAAGAAAAAGAAGAAACCATTCTGTCCAGATACAAATAGCTATAAACGTCATGAGTGGTTATGATACAGGAGTTTAAGAAATAAACTGTATAAATTCAGTAAATCCAGTCACTCAGCAAAATAAAACTAAAAATGCTGAAACACTGAGAAACTTCTGGTTCTCAGAAATGATTAAAGAAAATATTCCCACATAAAAAGCCAAATGTATTCTATGTAAGAAACCTGAATTTGATACTTAAGCTTTTAACAGATTGGAAACTCCCTAAAATGTTAATCTATGTTAATCTACGCCTATTTCCTAATTTTCTTCCCCCAAGAATAATGTTCCTTTAAACTGGAGCTACAAAAAAAAGGTCTTCCTAAAACATCTTTTCGGTAATCACACACCCTCTAAGAACTGGAATCCATGCCAGGCGCGTTGGCTCGTGCCTGTAATCCCAGCACTTTGGGAGGTCGAAGCGGAAGATCACCTGAGGTCAGCAGTTTCAGACAGGCCTGGCCAACGTGGTGAAACCCCATCTCTACTAAAAACACAAAAATTAGCCAGGTTTGGCGGCAGGAGCCTGTAATCCCAGCTACTTGGGAGGCTGAGGCAGGAGGATCACTCGAACCCAGGAAATGGAGGTTGCAGTGAGCCGAGATTGCACCATTGCACTCCAGGCTGGGTGACAAGAGTGAAACTCTGTCCAAAAAAAAAAAAAAAAAAAAAAAAAGGTTAAAGGATTGTTTTCAGTTGGATAAAATCAAAATAAAGGTTTCAGAAATTTGGGGGCCAGGTGTAGTGGCTCACGCCTGTAATCCCAGCACTTTGGGGGGCCAAGGTGGGTGATCAGTTGAGGTCAGGAGTTCGAGACCAGCCTGGCCAACATGGAGAAACCCAGTCTCTACTAAAAATACAAAAAAACTAGCTGGGTGTGGTGGTGCCTGCCTGTTGTCCCAGCTACTTGGGGAGGCTGAGGCAGGAGAATTGCTTGAACCCAGGAGGTGGAAGTTGCAGTGAGCCAAAATCATGCCACTGCACTCCAGCCTGGGCGACAGAGTAAGACTCTGTCTCAAAAAAAGTTGTAGGAGGCTGATTGTAAAGAAAATTCTGTATGTAAACATGTGGGCTAAAGTTAAAGGTGCATCATCCAGTTTTTCTGTAAATTAAGCACTAAAATTGCGTTTAGGCCAGGCGCAGGGCTCACGCCTGTTAATTCCAACTCTTTGGTAGGCCAAGGCGGATGGATCACCTGAGGTCAGGAGTTCAAGACCAGCCTGGCCAACATGGTGAAACTATGTCTCTACTAAAAATACAAAAATTAGCTGGCTGTAGTGAAGGGCGCCTGTAATCCCATTTACTGGGGAGGCTAAGGCAGGAGAATCGCTTGAACTCGGGAGGCGGAAGTTGCAGTGAGCCAAGATTGCACCATTGTACTCTAGCCTGGGCAACAAGAGCAGAAAAACTAGTCTCAAAAAAAAAAAAAAAAAAAAAAAAAAAAAAAAGAAAAGAAAAGAATTGGGTTTAACATTAACAGCACACTAATGTGTAAAGGTGAAATTTGGCTTATTTGGTACCAAAAATCACACAGGAAGCATCGCCAAATATAAAATGGGGTTTGGCTTTGTTTGGACTATATTTTTATAAATGTTATAGATATGTGTTCCAAAATCACGTAAAACTCCTACAATTGCAATGTATCCTAGTGTACATTATCCGTAATAATTATAATCATGTTAAATTATTGTGTGCCACAGAGTTAACAAACTTCCTCGTCAACTGTGTCTTTAACTATGGCTACCCTAAAACCTTTGTCATCCATAAACAATTGTTGTCTTGTTTTAATCCTCTTTAGAAGGTGGTTTTATAATCAGCTATAGAGTTCTAACAGGTGCTCTTAAATACACATTTCTAATAACTTTGGAGATTGTGACATCAGAATAAAGGAAAACCGTTCAGGACTCTTAAAGAGCTATAATGAGGCCAGGCGTGGTGGCTCATGCCTGTAATCCCAGCACTTTGGGAGGCTGAGGCAGGCAGATCATGAGGTCAGGAGATGGAGACCATCCTGGCTAACATGGTGAAACCCCGTCTCTACTAAAAATACAAAAAATTAGCTGGGCATGCTGGCAGGAGCCTGTAGTCCCAGCTACTCCAGAGGCCGAGGCAGGAGAACGGCGTGAACCCGGCAGGCAGAGCTTGCAGTGAGCACAGATCACGCCACTGCACTCTAGCCTGGGGCACAGAGCGAGACTCTGTCTCGGAAGAAAAAAAAAAAAAAAAAAAAAAAAAAGAGGTAAAGCGTTCATTAATATCAAGCAGGGCAGAAATTAACTGGATAAACTGAACTAATAGGACACTGAAGTAATCTTTTTAACTTTTTGCTTAAAACATTCCCAATCCTTTATTTTGCTTTTCAAAGTCAAACAAAAGTTGCAAGTTATTAACAACTTTTAACAATTAAGTATACTCCTATGAACAAAACTTGGAACTTGCTTCTCTCCACCTAATTTCTTCAGAATTTGGCAACTATTTGTGTGTGTGTATTCTTTTTTTTGAGACCTAGTCTCACTTTCTTGCCCAGGCTGGAGGTGCAGTGGCGTGATCTTGGCTCGCAGCAATCCCTGCCTCCCAGGTTCAAGCAATACTTCTGCCTCAGACTCCCGAGGAGCTGCGACCACAGGTGTGCATCACCATGCCCAGCTAATTTTTGTATTTTTATTACAGATGGGGTTTCACCATGTTGACCAGGCTGGTCTCAATCTCCTGACCTCAGGTGATCCATCTCGCCCAGTCTATTTGTATGTATTCTTAATTTATGGTATTTGCATAAGTGCAATAGAAATGTTTTCTTTTGTAACAGAAGACAAATAAAAAACTGGCCTCCTATTTTGTGTACACAGTCCCTGTACAGGGTTTCTAATCTGTGGGAAGTAAAACATGTCACTTTCTAACAGGACAAAAACCCCAAGTTATCTTGGAACCTCAAGAGGAGAGGATTTCACCCAACTCATAGGTATTTAATGGTACATATCCATGGCTGGGCTTGGGTTTAAAAAGGTATTATCTCAGATTCCTTCTATGGACATGAAGTTCCATCCAAGCCCATTTAAAAGGCCTATAGAAAAAATTATGATTCTTGCTCCACTGTACACAAATAATCAAGCCAAGTATAATAAAGCAAACCGATCCTACCATAATTTGTCTTTTAATAAAAATGGGAAGCTAAAAAAAAACTGTTTCAAAAACTATAGTACACTCAAATAATGTTTCCAATGTTTTCCTTTTTCCTAATTGGAAATCACTGAAACCTAAGCTGTGCTTTCCTCAAGCCCTATAAACTGAAGACTAAACTTCAGAAGAAAATAGCAGGCCGGGTGCGGTGGCTCAAGCCTGTAATCCCAGCACTTTGGGAGGCCGAGACGGGCGGATCACAAGGTCAGGAGATCGAGACCATCCTGGCTAACACAGTGAAACATTGTCTCCACTAAAAAATACAAAAAAAAAAAAAACTAGCCGGGCGAGGCCGCAGGCGCCTGTAGTCCCAGCTACTCGGGAGGCTGAGGTAGGAGAATGGCGTAAACCCGGGAGGCAGAGCTTGCAGTGAGTCGAGATCCGGCCACTGCACTCCAACCTGGGTGACAGAGTGAGGCTCTGTCTCAAAAAAAAAAAAAAAAAAAAGAGAAAACAGCAGCAACCTATTTATATGTGTTGCTGTTGCATACTATTAGGTTTCAGCAGGTGCTGCCTCTAAGCCCCCAAAACAGAAAGTGCTATCAGGAACAAATCGACCTCTTCCGCTCCAGCACTGTGTTCCATGCCCGATGATGACAACCCTTTCTCAGCAAGCAGCAGCCAGAAAGATTACAATGCTCTATCTCCCTATGATTCTCGTGATTAATAAATAAATATACAAGCATGAAAAAAACATGAGCAAATTGACAGTGGGGATTGTGGCAGGCCAGGTCTCACTAACGCAGGCCTCTGTAACAAGTGTTTTAGTACTGTCTAAGCAGTTAAATATTAAAAGCCAAGGCCCCTATACAAAGGCTGGGATATAAGAAAAGCCCAAAGAGTTTAGCTTAGGCCTTTCCTGGGTCTTAAAACATAACAAAATAATGAAGGTATTCCTAACAAGACTCACTTAGGGTTAAGCCAGTTTTATTGGGAAGAAAACTCCTCAAACCTCTGTGATTTAGCAGAAGGCAAAGTAAGGGTAATTACCCCAGCACTTACACCCATTTAAATTAAGTAAATTTACTGAGGCTCCAGACAAAGGTCTTCAAGACTCAATCCTTAGTTATAGATTAAAAGAAGTTAATCACTTACGTCTTTAGATAAATGTAAACTTACATATAAACATATAGCTTAGAAAGTATATAAGCTCTGAAAAACTTTGTAATTTTAAGTTGGTCTGGCAATAATTTCCAGGTCTTTTCCCTGCAATCGGTTGCAGAAATAAAAACTCTCTACCTAGTCAGTTAATGTGCATCTTGTTATTGGGCAATGAGAAATAGCAGCCCAAACCTCAGTTTGGTCTGGGAACTGCACCCCAGCCTGGGCAACAAGCGTGAAACTCCATCTCAAACAAACAAACAGAAGTGCAGCACAGTCAGAAATCAGTTTGAAAGTTCCTAGTAGCGACGGGACTCTGAAAGGTCAGGGGTGTGTGGCAGGGTCACCCACCTCCATCCATGTGCTTCAGCGCCTTCTCAGCTTCATCTGGATTCTCAAACTCTACGTATGCATAGCCTTTGGACAGATGGGGATGCATCCTTTCCACGGGCATGTCAATCATTTTAATTTTCCCATAGGTGGAAAATATCTCCATGATGTGATCCTAGAGGGAAAGAAGGATCACTCGAACGCCCACCTACCAGTCAGTCATGTCAGACGCAGAGAGTTCACCACATCATGACTAAAACCTCAGCAGGGTAAAACATTCCATCTGACAAGTACCAGTGTTGTTCTGGGATTAATCTCCTAGACACATGTATTAATGGTCCACTAAGAGGAACGAATCAGTGCTCTACTCAAACCACGTGCCCGTCCCTGAAAGGCTACGTTCTAAGTTCACCTGCAGGCACAGGCTTGCTTGTCTACACCCCACTGCTCACTGGAGACATCCGTGATCCTCACCTTTGTCACATTCCTGGTGAGTCTCCCAATATGCACTTTGGTGGGCTTAGGAGATGGGCTCCGCCTTTTCCTCTCCTTTTCATCTCTTTTAGGTGGTTTGGATCTGATTGAGAAAACAAAACACCAGAAACAGTTTCTGTCAAGTCAAAATGTACTAGATTCCTTTCGAGTGAGCTCTTATCTGCTTGTGTGACAGTTTTCCCAAGGAAGACTTTCCTACTAGTTGCATTACTCCTGTCTCAGAAATCCTATTAACACAGAAAGGACTCCTTCTGGGTCCCTTTTATAACCTCAATGGTAAATCTGTAGCCCCCAGCTTGTAAACTTTAGATCCCAGACACAGGGCACTCACTTGGAGCGGGAGCGCCTCCTGTTGTCGTGTCTGCGCCGAGAAGGACTTGGAGAGCCGGAAGAGCTGCTGGAGCTGGAGCTGCGGGAGGTGCTGGAGCTTCCTGAGCGGCTGGATGCTGAGGAAGAGCTGGAGCCACTGCTTGAGCCAGTGCTGGTGCTGGAGCCTGAGCTGGAAGTCGAGCTGGACCGAGATCTGAGGGCAAGATGAGGGGTCACAACCACCACATGCCAAGTCTCAGAGTACAGACGCCTCCTCCAAGTCTGTTGCGTTCCCTCCAGGAGAAGGCTGCTGTTTGGGTGTCTCCAGGCCTCACTGCTTTCCCCAGTGGGGATAACATTACCCCCCAATCCCCCAGCAAGCCAGAGCCCTAGGTGTCACATTGTGTGTGGGACAGGACGGAGGTGACGGGCGGCCTTTTACCCATACAGAAGCCTTTCCTGCTGAGAGGCAAAGGACTCTGGCAAAAGTCAGAACTGTCAACTCAGGCTGGGAAGGCAGCTGCTGGCTGAGGCTGACCCAGGCTTGATTGATTTTTTCTTTTGAGACAGGGTCTGTCACCCAGGCTGGAGTGCAGTGGCATGATCTCCGCACACTGCGGCTTCAATCCCCTGGAATCAAGCCATCCTCCTGACTCAGCCTTCCGAGTAGCAGGGAGTACAGGCATGTACCACCACACCCGACTAATTTTATTTTCCTCAAACTCCTGGGCTCAAGCCATTCTCCTGCCTCAGCCCTCCCAAGTGGCTGGGATTACAGATGCATGCCACCACTCTCAGCTAATTTTAAAAATTACTTTTTGTAGAGATGAGCTCTTGTTTTGTTGCCCAGGCTGGTCTTGAACTCCAGGCCTCAAGCAATCCTCCTGCCTCGGCTTCCCAAAGTGCCAGGACTACAGGCACGAGCCACTGCACCTGGCCAGTCTGCCATAAATTAGGGTCTCTACTAACAATCAGAAAATGTGTTTTCTTTGTAAATAATCAAGAAAACCGAGCCATCTGTGGGGAGTAGGGGTGTGGCTGTGGCACAGGTCCCCTCCAGACTCCAGGCCAGCCCGCCCCACCTGGTACTGCTGCTACCACTGGAAGCACTGCGCCTCTTTCGGGTTTTGTCCCTGCCGCGATCCTTCTCACTTGACTCCTTGGTGGCCCCTTTATCTTTTGAGCGATCCTTGGACTTCTCATCTGAGCGGTCCTTGCGTTTGGTGGGTGAAGGAGCCCTGGATGGTGAGGAAGAGTGTGAGACTGCGTGCTCCTCTGACCAAACCCAAACAGCACAACCCAAAAGAGGGGATCAGCAGGGCCACAGAGACCCCAGGTGATCAGAGTAAAGTGGCCTGTGGCTCAGAACACTGACTGCAGAATGCAGAACACTCTCCACTTCCCCCTTTCTGCGGGTCCCTAGCAGTAAGCACCCCCAAGTGGCACTAGAAAAATCTTACAGAAGGATTACCTAGTGCTGGACTTTTTATTATTTTCTTTGACTCCTAGCAAGCTCTTCTTTTTCACTCCTGATAAATCCATTCTCCCCTTCTGAGGTGTTCAAAGCAGCAATGGCGGCCTCACTTATCTGAACTCTCACTTCTAACTTGATTTTGAGAAACGATCCCTAATCGATTGCAATTTACGCCAAAGAGCAGCCTAATAACAAGATAAAAGGATTTAAAGAGTGAACGAATTGGCAAGGCAACAAATCTACTTTGCAGTCAAAAGCTGAGCACACAAAAAGACAGCAAGGGAGCACAGTAAGCAGTGAGTGTCCACAGAGTCAGGAACACACAGGGACAATCCCCATGTGCTCGTGGAGGCATCTCTACCCTGCACAGAAGGCACAGGCACAACTGTCGCCCCCACTTATATTTTTCTTAAAAAAATGGAAGAGATGGTGGGGCCCATCACTGTTATTTTACAGGCTGAACAATTCAGTTTTCACCCACAAGTTTGATGAGCCCCTGCAGTCCTTTCAAAATGCCACAGCACCACATTCACATGCAGAACAGAGAAAAACCTAACTCAAGGGTGGTCTCCAGATAGGATTAGATCTCCTGTTTTATTGTGGCAATTTGCCTTTAGGATACACAGATGTGACTGGAAGCAAAAATCATTTCAAAAGTGACTGGTACCAGCATTAAAACACTTAATACCCAAAAGCAAACAGATGAAACGTACCATATGAACATTTAAAAAGCAGAAGAATCATTTTAAAAAGCAGTAATTGCACTGTACTTTAATAATATGCATATTGAGTGTAGGAGAAAATACATGCAAGTCTGCAATTTACTTTGAAAGAAAAACTAAGATTGATGGGTGGCTGGATACACCATCTAGCAAATATAGCAGAAATATAACTTACAGACTCTTAACCTCTGAGTTTTGTTTTGTTTTTTTTTGAGATGGAGCCTTGCTCTGTCACCCAGGCTGGAGTGCAGTGGCACGATCTTGGCTCACTGCAACCTCCGCCTCCTGGGTTCAAGCGTTTCTTCTGCGTCAGCGTCCTGAGTAGCTGGGACTATAGGTGCATGCCATCAAGCCTGGCTAATTTTTGTATTTTTAGTAGAGACAGGGTTTCACCATATTGACCAGGCTGGTCTCCAACTCCTGACCTTGTCATCCGCCAACCTTGGCCTCCCAAAGTGCTGGGATTACAGGCGTGAGCCACCAGACCTGGCCCTTAGGTAGTCTTTATGTGGGTATTAATTGTATAATTTAACCTTCCTGTACTTTAAAAATTTTTCAAAAATAAGATGAAAAAAAGTAGGCACTGAAATTGCATGAGAGACTGCCTGCCATGTAAGAGTTTAGCAAAATGCCTGGACTGCAGAATGTGCTCAAATAGCGGTTACTCATTACTCAAAAGCAAATTACTAATTAGTTATGGGCCCTATTTTCCAGGGACGCCTTCAGTAATTCCAGTAAAGTTCTGCACAAGCTGCAGGAGTTGTTAAGTGCAGCTCTCAGGATGTAAGTCTCAGCTACTTCTGTCTCACCTTCTCCAAGAGCCAGTTGGTAAGGAGGACACAGCACACCAATGGGGTCCTGGTTTCCCTGTGCAGTACCTGCCAGGGGTGCTTCAAAATGCTGCTAAAAACGTGTTCTGACCCAAGAAAGAAAAGCACCTGGCTTTAAACAGTCAAATGAGCCAAGGAGGGCCAAACACCACCTCTGCTGCTCTTGTCTGGGGGTATCATGTTTTGCTATAGAATAGTAAGGTTCTGCAGACACCCAGCAGATAGTGTCTCAACACTGTTGGTGTCCTCGGACAGTCAGTGAGTATCAATCAGAGTATAATTCAGAGTCTGGAACCAGAGGGCCTGGGTTTGATGTGAGGTTTTACTGTGTAATTTTAGACAAGTCACTTATCCTTTCTCAAGTTTCTTATCAATATGGTGACAATTACAATTCCAACTTTATAGTTACCCAGGGCATTAATGAAAAGCTCAATAATGTTAGGAGCAAGATTTGTAAAGGCTCCTCCCTCCCCCAGACATTTGTCTCCAAAGTCACACGTAATTTCTGAACTCTCAGCAGGGTTCCTGCACCCATCTGCCTTAGGATCACCTGCAGCAGAACTGTCCAATAGAAACAGTGTGAGGAGCCACAAGCATCACCTGAAATTCCTTAGTAGCCACATCACAAAAATGGGTGAAATTAATTTTTAACACTTGACACATCCAAAATATTATCTTTCCAACATATAATCAACATAAAAATATACTAATAAAAGTTTAATTTTTTTTCATAGTCTTCTAAAACTGGTATGTGTTTTAACATTTCAGTTTTGATGAGCTGTATTTCACATGCTTAGTAGCCACATGTGGCCAATGGCTACTTTACTGGACAGCACAGACCTAGAGTGGAGGTCACACCCGCAGATTTCAGCCCCACCCCCCAGACCTAAAGATCTGCCCAAATGTACTTTGTGAAATCAAACACCACCAGTTATTCTTAAGCACTCCAAACACTAAGAACCACTGAGTAAGCGGACGGCTCCCTGGGTGCGGTCGAGTGCTAGAAAGCAAAAGTTGAGGTTCTCTGTTCACCCAAGTTCAGGTACCGGCTCAGGACCTCGGTTACCTCCCCCATCCTCCGGAAAGGTGCGCGTCCAACAGCCAGAGAGAGGAGAGAACAATTAGTTAAATCTCGAGGAGAGGGCGTTTCGGCATAAATCTTCAGAGCACCTTCCCCATTTAAGAGTACATTTCACGCACAGTTCATGAGAAATCAAGACAAAAACCCTACTCCACGTTTCTCCTCCAACAACTTTAACCTTCCCGTATCCACCCCTCTGGGATAACCCATCAAACTGAGCTCGGCCACCGTGTTCGGTCCATAGTGGGCCGTATCCCCACGGCCTAGCGCCGAGAACTGCACACGGGAGTCCGGGAAACGTTCGCGGAGTACACGTTTGAATTAAATGACTCCGAAGGATGGATCGGCCGACCTTCCACCGCATCCCACAAAGAAACTCCGCGCCCGCCGGCACCTGCCCGACACGCCGACCTCGCCGCTCCCCGTCCGCGTTCACTCACAACTCCCCCGTCCAGGCGCCGGGCCGCCAGCGCTTCCAGGGCAGCGCCTGGCGTTGGGGACTTGGGTCTCCGGCCCGGCGGGAGGGCCCCAAGAACGGAGGCCGCGCTCCCCGCTGCTCCGAGTCCCGCGGGCCTGGCTGGGCCACCGCCGAGCGGACGAAGCAGAGGCGCCCTTCCGTCTGCGGCGGCCCCGATCACTTCCGGGCCACAGCCTCTACACCTCCCACTCCGCCCGCCCCGGGCCACACTCTTTCTTCTCGGAGCCCGCACCGCGCTGCTAGGCCACCGCCGCACTGCGGGGCTGAGAAGTGGACCGGCTTCACGATGCGTCCTGCCGGACCTGACGGGCAGCCCCCGAAACACGGATGCGGTCGGATTCCGCCCCAACTTACATCTTCCCGCCGCCACCACCTCCTCCTGCTTTCCTCAGCCTCCGAGGCCGGCGCCGCTCTGACGTCAGAGTCAAGGAGCGGGAAGACGCCGCCGTCCGGCACGCAGCGATGACGTAAACGCCTGGCCCAATGGGCGCCAGCGGGGAAGCGTTAGACAGTCAAGGCAGTTTGTGGTAGCCGCGTTGGGGACGTTCAAGGTGTCTCCTCGCCGGTAAAGTCCCTGGGACTGACCGGACTGGCTGCACGCTTGCTGGAGCGTGCACATGGGTAGCCTGCTGAGCCTGGGAGGGCCGCGCGATAACCGAGGCTCGTCGTCCGGAGCGGAGGGTGTTATCGCGGGCGTGCCCCGCCCCTTTCCTTGCGCGGGCTCTCTGGGCCCGCCCGAGCCGACTCTAGCCCCTGTCGCGGGCGGTGGAGGCGGGGCTCCAGGCCCGGCTGTGCTGAGGGCGGCAGGGTGGTCAGGAGGGGTGCGCAGCCTTTGCAGCCTTGCGTGGCGGGGCGTAGGGGCCTGCAGGGCGGAAGTAGCTCGGAGAGAGGGGCTGGGGCAGGACTTGGCGTTCGTGCGGTCAAAACTCACTGGTGGCGTTTGGGATGCGCTCGTGGACGCGGCCTCCGCGCAGGCGGACCTCCACAGGGTGGGCGCTGCAGGCGGGCTGTGCGGGCAGGAAGAGCAACGAGCTTGAGGGTGGGAGATGGGGTGCAACGGGGGGCGTCTCCGGGGAGGTGACACTGCCGCTGAGACTAGAGTGGAAGGGCGCGCCCGGCGGGGGAACAGCAGGCACCGAGGTTCGCTGGAAGCAGGGAAGGGAGGCCGGGGCACAGGCTCGCAGGCCCGCGCCAAATTCTCAGCGGCGGCAGCACGGAGGCTTCATCTAACGGCCGGTGCAGGGTCCGAGCAGGGAACACTGTCGACCAGGGTCCGACTCTGGAAGAGTCCAGAGGTGGCGCTTCTGGCAGGCACAGAGGAGGAGGTGACGCTGTAGGGGCCCAGGCAGGAGGCTCCGCGTCAACGCTCCACACTGACGCGGCGGATTCTTTTTTTTTTTTTTTTTGACAGAGTCGCGCACTGTTGCCCAGGCTGGAGTGCGGCGGTGCGATCTCGGCTCACTGCAACCTCCACCTCCCGGATTCAAGCGGTTCTCCTGCCTCGGCCTCCCGAGTAGCTGGGATTACAGGCGCACACTATTACACTCGGCTAATTTTTTGTATTTTTATTAGAGACTGGGTTTCACTATGTTGGCCAGACTGGTCGCGAACTTCTGACCTCGTGGTCCGCTCCTAGGCTTTCAGGCTCGCTCCCAAAGTGCTCGCTCCTAGGTTCGCCTTGGCCTCCCAAAGTGCTGGGATTACTTTACAGGCGTGAACCACCGCCCTCGGCCGAGGGCGGGTTTTGTTCACTGCTGTGCCTGTCAGGCAGTCGTTGCCCTTTGATTATTTGTGGAGGGATTGACTGTGTGCTCAGCTTCAGACTTTGAACAGCTTCGTGGCAGCAAGGAAGGGAGAAGGAAACAGATCCAAGCGGATCTTTGGGAGGAGACAACCAGCATGACTTGGAGACTTCAGATGTCAGAGCAAAGGACAGGGTGCAGCTCGGTGACCCGGAGTGGGTGGGCGGGTGAATGGATGTATAGTGGGAATGTGGTCTGCTGTCACTGCCCTCTTCTCTGTGTGGGAAGCCAGCTCTTGGTGACTTCCTGCCCGGGCCCACTCCCTCTGGCCCTGTCCGAGGGTGTCAGGTGTGCCCTTGACCCTTCACCCTGGACTAAGGGATGTGCGAGGAGTTGGGGACAAAGGCAGCTAGGAGGAGGCGCTACCTCCCGAGTCCAACGCACTAAGTCACCAGTGTGTTCCTGTGGGTGGAGGCTGGCAGGCCCATCAATCTGGTTTGGGTACCCCCGTTGGATTTGGGTTTGATGACATGTAAAGTAAGTTAGATTCTCTGCATTACTGTCACCTGCTGTGCCCAGGCATGGAAGGTTAAGTGGAACAGAGGGGCCGTCCCCCTGCTGAAGGGGCCCCAGAGTCGGTGCTAGGGGAGGGGGTGGTCTCAGTGGTCCAGGCAGGCACAGGCGGAATTGTCTCAGGTGGCATTGGAGTCCAGTGGTCAGAGAGGTGCTGAAGGACCCCAAACCCAGATCCCATGCCCAGGGCCCCACTGACACCTGGTGGGGAGAGGCAGCCTGGTGACCCCACGTGACATGGGTGGGGGTGACGCAGCCCCAGCTGGGCTGACAGCCCTCCCCCTGCTGATTTTTAATGCTCTGCAGTAATTTCATTTGGCCTGCGAATAAGCTTTCACACATTTTATATTAAATCGACAAATATGATTTATTCAGGCACTTATGAATTTAATCAAAATTGTTTCTAAATATTACTGATTTTTGTCATCAAATGTGCCATCAGCTGTTGAGCTTTGAGAATTGAGCATCCTGGCTTTTGCCATTTTGAGGATCAGCAGAAGCATGTCTGGAAGAAACGTGAGAAAGTAAAAGTCAGGAGCCTACCCCCACCCCGTCCTTCCAGGAGCTCAGCCTCAGAGCCAGGCTGCTAAGGCCATGGAGGCTGAGGGCAGTGGAGCTGGGGCTTCTGGAGCCTCAGGGGCCCTGGTTTGCTGGAGGGGGCAGGTAGGGCTTTGCGGACAGGGCATTACGCAGTGGCCAGAGCCCTGCAGTGCTGGGCACAGGCTTCTCGTGGGCTCTGGCCATGGCCCTGAGCTCCTCCCCTTGCCTTCCCAGAGCTGAGGGTCACCTGCTGAGCTGGGCACCGGCTTCTCTTGGGCTCTTTCCACGGCCCTGAGCTCCTCCCCTTGCCTTCCCAGAGCTGAGGGTCACCTGCTGACTGGGGCGACTCTGTCTTGAGAGCATGCCCTCATGAAGGCAGAATGTCCTCCCTGCCTCCATCCTCTGTTGCCTGGTGGCTTCTGCAGTGCCTGCCCTTAGAGGCTCGTGGCCTGGGACACAGGGTTGGGGATGGGCTTGGTGGTGCTGCAGGTCACAGTGGGTCATGAAGGACCTTTGGGGAGGGTGTTGTATTCTCTGGTAAAGCACAGCAAGGGAGCCCTTTTACCCACTAAAACCTGGCTCTGCACTGAGGCCATGTGCAGCCCAGTCAGGTGGACGAGGGGGTAATGACTCGACCTCGGGGGAGGCATCAGAGGAGGAGCCGTGCCTGCTGAGAGGCGGGTCACCATAGCCTGGCACCTGTCTGGAGAGGATGGGGCTGGGGGAGGTGCTGGCCAGGTCCATTGGGGTGGCCAGGCTGGGTCTGAAAGGGCCTTGTGCTGGTGTGGGGTGAGCTTGGTCTGTTGGGAGAGTATACAGTTCATTGAGGCCTCCCTGGCTCTGGGTTTGCATGTCTGAGGAGTGGGTATCATCAGGGCCTGGGGCCCCTGCAGTGAGCACGTCTGGACTCTCCCAGGATCGGGAGCCTGTGCTCATCACAAGCTCAAAGCACTCCATTTCTGCTACAATGAAGTCAAGGATAGTGACCGTGAGCCGCCTGGGACCTGAGCTGCCTGGGACTGTGACTGAGGCACCTGGGGTGCCTCTCAGGACCTGGGGGCTGAGCCCATGGCTAGATGAGCCTTGGTGATGCTGTGGTATTGCCTGGGCCAGGCGGACCCAGGGGCAGCTGCAGCTGGTCCATGTGGAGCTCCTTCAAGCGGAAGCATCTGACACCAGTGTCTGTGGGGTGTGGGCCCGGCCCCAGGAGCGGGGCCTGGGCAGCCCCGTGTGTTGAGGAAGGAAGGCAGGGCCCCCGCTCCCCGGGCCTGACCCCACTGCTTCAGCCCCCTCCTGCCTGCCTGCAGCCTGGCCTCGAGGGCCCATCAGGTGAGGAGGGGATCCCGCCTGCCCCACCCCATCCTACCTCCTGGAGGAGGCCTTGCCCCTTACAGGCAGCCTCCAGCTCTCCCACCCTGAGCCCCGTGTGGGGTGACCAGAGCATGCCCAGCATGTTTGGGTTCGGGGAGCATCTGGAGGGAGGGACATCTCAGTTCCCTGAGGGGTGAGCAGCCTAAGTGACTCCCGTGCTGGGCCATTTCCTGCATTCTGGAGCTCCCCTTGAGCTGCCTGTCTGCAGGGGGCTCTGGCCATTAGTGCAGCCAGGCACCAGCCTCCATGCAGACCAGTCTGTGTGGGAGTGGGGGTCTCAGAGGGCCCAGCCGGCCTATGCCATGAGCATGGTGCTGGCCCGGAGGGGAGCTGAACAGCAGCTGGGTCGGTGCGTTACCTGGTAGGGCAGTGGACAGCAGCTGCCCTGGCTGGGGTTCAACCCCCGGGCTGGCCTGGTGGAATCCCCTCTGTCACTCCTAGGTTCTGTTCTTGCAGGTGTCAGGCCTGGGGCCTTGAGACAGACCTGCAGTCTCCACCGCAGCCACAGTGGGTGGGCTCTGGGTCCTCACGGAGGTGATCCTCCACGCCCACCCTTACCTTGTGCGCGGCAGTGGTGTCCCCTGGAGTTGGTGAGACCCCACCTCACTCAGGAAGCCTCCCAGACACCCCCAGGCAGAAGTAGCCATACTCCAGGGCCTGTGTCCATATGCCCCACAGTGCACCCTGACTGGTTTGTTGTAGGAACTCAGAAAAGCAAAGTAAACAGGATGGTTCCCTGCTGGACACATTTTTATTGCAGATCTTTAGTCCAGGATTCCAGGGATAGCCAAGGTCACCTGAGTCCTGGGGACTCTGGGCCTGGTCTCTGAAAGCAGCCAGCAAGACAGAGATGGGAAACCCAGCAAGATGGAGTGAGCCAAGGGCACAGGTGGGTCCAGGCGCAGCAGGGAGCTGCCTGGGGGTGACAGACACTGGATGGAGGCCACTGCACACACCCTACCCCACCCTGAACTTGAGCACTTCCTTCTTTCCCCCCTCCCCCCCGCCCCTGAGACGGAATCTCGCCCTGTTGCCCAGGTTGGAGTGCAGTGCAATGGCACGATCTCGACTCACTGCAAGTTCTGCCTCCCGGGTTCACGCCATTCTCCTGCCTCAGCCTCCTGAGTAGCTGGGACTACAGGCGCCTGCCACCACGCCTGGCTAATTTTTTTGTATTTTTAGTACAGACGGGGTTTCACCATGTTAGCCAGGATGGTCTTGATCTTTTGACTTCATGATCTGTCTTCCTCAGCCTTCCAAAGTGCTGGGATTACATAGGCGTGCGCCACCACGCCCGGCCAAGCACTTCCTTGAACACAGAGGTGACCATGAGGGAGGTATGAACCAGGATGATGGGGCAGCAGATGGAGCCTGCCTCCCTGAGACTTCAGGTGACCAAGCCCTGGACTGCCTCCTCCTGCCTACACAGCTGAGAAATAAACTTCTTTGTCAAACCACTGTGACCTGGGGTTTTCTGATATCCTCAGCAAGCCCATTCCTGTGGCCTGGTGTGGGTCCCCTGACCTATGGCCTGGGCTGCCTGTATCCAGCCTGCCCCTCTGCTTCGCTGTAAACCTGTGATGGCAGTGGAGGGGCTTGGCCTGGGCCTGCCACACTTCGAGGTCTTCCCCTCTCTGAGTTCTGGGTGTGGTGTCAGTTGAGCCACCCTGTTGGACTGGGCCAGCCTGGAGGACAGAAGGTGCAGGCTCTTCCACATACCCGGCTCGTGGCCCATGGGCCGTCTGCTCATGGGAGCCCTGTGCCAGGCTACGCAGGGCAGTGAAGTCAGAACCTCGTCTCCCAGGTCTAAGGTGAACTGGGAGGAGGGCAGGAGTCGGCTCTGTCAGATGCCACAGTTGTTCGGGGACAGTTTCCGTAGAGAATGTGTGCCCCTCCCACCCACCCCGTGGTCTAGGGTGGAGCGTGGATGGGCTGGTAGCTCCTATCCCTGGGCCCATGGCTCTTTTCCCCTGCCCTCCTATGGGCTGGGAACTGCCACAGCTCAGACAAAAATCAGCCGGGGCGGGGTCCTGAGGCTTCAGTCCAAGGCTCCTTAGGGTGTCCCTGGTGACCTAGCCCCAGCACTGAGTTTCCAGAGGCCTTGAGGGTGCCCTGGGATGCCAGATGGACCCTTCCTGCTGGGGTCATCCAAGCTCCAGGCTTGGGTACAGCCTTGGGCCCCTGCCACAGACACCCTGAATGCACCTGCCCCTCCTGGTCCCCACGCAGCAGCCTCCCAAGCTGCAGATCATTTTCCTAAGGAGTTCTAGTTGTGCCAGTCCTTACTTAAAGACCCCTACTGGCACTGGTAGCGTGCTGCCAGGGGGGATGGTGTCTTCTGTGCGTGTCCTGTCTACGAACGCTGGCTTAACAAGTGTGTGCCTCATGCGGGCTATGCCCTCAGTCCTATACGCTCTCCTCAACCCCCTTTTAGGGTGTCACAGGAGAAAAATGACACATATCTAACACATAGGCTTGAAAACAAGTCTGAGGATGCCCTGCAGAAGGACTGTGGGCATGGACATGGAGCTGGGTGGCCTCATGCACTGGCTTCTGTCCCTCTTCCTAGCCCCAGGCCTGACCTAGAGGCCACAGCCCCTGTGGAGAGGCTGTGGGGCCAGAAGGGCCCACTTCAGACCACTTCAGACCCAATGGGTGGCTGTGGCCTAAACACTGCCCAAACACATATTTTTTATGACATGGAACTAGATGGCAGAAGTTTAAAGGGAATAAAAGAGCTACTGGAGACAATTTGCAGCTTTCATAAATTTCCAAAGACTGATAAAAACACAGACTTGAAATTGTCCCAAATGAGCCAAAGTGATGAAAACAAGTCTTTTCTAAAACTCTGAATTCTAAGGGAATGTAAAATGCAGAAGTTAAAATCAGTTTTAGAAAACCATAAGAAATAATAGTGTATTCGCCAGGTGTGGTGGCTCACACCTGTGATCCCAGCACTTTGGGAGGCCGAGGCAGGTGGATCACTTGTGGTCGGGTTTGGCAGCAGCCTGGCCAACATGAGACCTCGTCCATATGAAAAATAAAAAAATGTAGCCATGCATGGTGGTGCATGGCCTTAGTCCCAGCCACTTGGGAGGCTGGGGTGGGAGGATTGCACGAACCCAGGTGTTTCAGGCTGCAGTGAGCTATGGTAACACCACTGCACTCCACACTGGGCAACAGAGCAAGATGCTATCTCCAAAAACAAAACACAAAACAGTGCATAAATAAAAAGGGGCCGGGCATAGTGGCTCATGGCTGTAATCCCGGCACTTTGGGAGTCTGAAGTGGGTGGATCACTTGAGGTCAGGAGTTTGAGACCAGCCTGGCCAACATGGTAAAACCCCATCTCTACTAAAAATACAAAAATTAGCTCGGTGTGGTGGCGGGCGCCTGTAGTCCCAGCTACTTGGGAGGCAGAGGCAGGAGAATCGCTTGCACCAGGGAGGCAAGATTGCAGTGAGTCAAGATTGCGCCACTGTGCTCCAGCCTGGGAGACAAAGCAAGACTCCTAAATAAATAACTAAAAAGGGAGCTGATGAAGAGTTATTTCTGGGAAATGGCAAATGCCCACAGGTGACCCTGGTACCAGCAGCTTCTCTCCCACCAGACCTGTGCTTCACACACAGCCCCACCTGCTCTTCTCTTGGCTGTAGACTAAGGGCCCGTCACCGGGCATTTATCTAACCGGCTTTTTCCTTTGTGTTCTGGGCCTGTTCCTTCACCTCAGAGTATTATCTGCGTGTGCTCCCTTCTGGGAAAAGCGACATCCCACATTTGTGTGATTGATATGTGAAAGAAGAGCCTCATGTATAGATTGTGGGCGAGTGATTGAGCCCCGTGACCCCTCTCGCGTGTGACCCACAGACTGTGACTGTGTCCCCTCAGCCTTTATTTTCTGGACGGTCACAACGTATTCAGTGTGTCCTTGAGACAGCCACCCAGCCCTTGGGGTGGTCCCTGCGTGTCCTGGGGCGGGCAACTTCCTGAGGGTGCAGTGCTGGGAACAGAGACTCCTTCAAGCCTGGCCACCTTCCCTCCTGTGCCGGCTGCTTCTAGGAGATGCTGTGGGACGATGCCCGGCTCTGCGGAGGCTACCATGCCCTAAGGAGCAGAGCCTCCAGGAGGCCCCCAGGCTGCGCTGGACGCTAAAACCCCAGCACCTAATCACAGTCAGCAGCTTCCCTCCACCGACAGTGATCTGCATGGTCCATTCCCGGCGGCCTGGGGGCCTCGCTACAGTTCAACCTGGCTTCCTGCTTCCTCCCCAGGGGAGATTAGTGTCATGTGTAAACATGGACAAGTCACTGGGTCCTCTCTCCAGGGAGTGTCTGGAGAAATTCAACCCCCCAGCTCAGCTGCAGCCCTTCCTGGGTCAGCTCTCCACCCAGAGACCCGGGAGCTTGCCCACAGACTGCCTGGCCCGCTCCAGCTCTGGGAGGGTGAACTCCAGAGTGCAGACGTGAAGACGCGCATGCTGATCCTGGGCATGAGGGCCGGGCTGCACTCGTCCGTTCTGTGCATACTGCCTTGAATTTTTCATATCCATCATAGAAAAAAGTGATTAAAAATAAAGGATGAGATAAACTTGGAGAGAGAGGATGCAAGCTGGACCCTGCTTGCCTGTCCCATCCCTGCCTGGTGGCGAGGCAGCCACACCCCTCATCGCCCCTCCTCTGCAGTGGGCGGCTGCAGGTGGGCGAAGCTCAGGAAGACCTGTTCCAGCGAGATCTGGCTCACAGAGTAGTCGTCCACACTGTACTTTTCCTTGGCTTTCTCCAGAATACCGAAAACCTTTGGGGAGCAGAAAAGTCACTGGTAGGAGAGAACAGGGCCCAGGCTCCTCTGCGGAACCTGGGAGTCCCCTGGCAAGAGGGGCTGGTGAGGCCTTCACAATTCTACCCCTGCCCAGCCCCACCCCAGAGTCCCAGAGAGGGCAGCCCTGCGAGGGCACCGTGCTCACCCCAGAGTCCCAGAGAGGGCAGCCCTGCAAGGGCACCGTGCTCCCAAGGAGAGGACACTGGCTAAGAAGGAGCCATCAGGGACAGGGCCCAGCCTCCTCCTCACGCTGTTCCCAGCTCAGAGTACAACCTTGAGCCAGCGATGTTCCCTTTCTGAGCCAGTTCTTTTTTTTCCCCCCATAATTAATTTTTTTAGAGAGAGAGTCTTGCTCTGTAGCCCAGGCTAGAGTGCAGTGGCACAGTCATAGCTCACTGCAGTCTCGAACTCCCAGGCTCAAGCGATCCTCCCACCTTAGCCTCCTGAGTAGCTGGGACTACTGGCATGCACCATGATACCTGGCTAATTTTTATTTTATTATTTTTATTTTTATTTATTTATTTTTTTTGAGATGGAGTCTCGCTCTGTCGCCCAGGCTGGAGTGCAGTGGCCGGATCTCGGCTCACTGTAAGCTCTGCCTCCCGGGTTTACGCCATTCTCCTGCCTCAGCCTCCCGAGTAGCTGGGGCTATAGGCGCCCACGACCTCGCCCGGCTAGTTTTTTGTATTTTTTAGTAGAGACCGGGTTTCACCGTGTTAGCCAGGATGGTCTGGATCTCCTGACCTCGTGATCCACCCGTCTCGGCCTCCCAAAGTGCTGGGATTACAGGCTTGAGTCACTGCACCCGGCCTAATTTTTAAATTTTTTGTAGAGACGGGGTCTATGTTGCCCAGGCTGGTCTAGAACTCCCAGGCTTAAGCAATCCTCCCGCATCAGCCTCCCAAAGTGCTGAGATTATGGTGTGAGTCACCATCCCTGGCCCTTTTCCTACTGCACACTGAATTCCTTTTACCACTGATATTTTGGATATAAAACCCCCAGACCAGCACGTATCAGCGTGAGTGTTAGGGGAGAAATGGAAACTGACTCCTCTGTGGGAAGAGTCTGCAATCACCACAGAGGGAGAGACCCCTGGAGGGACCTCCCCCAGCCCCGTGAGTGCCCAGTGGGGCCCCAGGGACTGCCTTACCTTCGCCCAGCTGAGGTCGCGGCCTGGCAGGTGGTAATGGA